CTCAAATTGTTGTTAGAGATTAAAAAATTAAATTTCGACTAATAAAAATGTCTAACAAATTTTTTTACATATTTCATTGAACCTTTTTGAGTCCAAAAAGTATGTTGTTTCATTTTGACGTGCATTGACTTAATACGTAGTATCAAGATGTTGTTTACAAATTACGGAACGAAGGGAAAGTCAATAAATGAAAAGGTGCGCTCGCTGTCATTCGCTTAACGCAAACGTTTGTTACCATTTGGATGAAAATTTATCAGTAGAACCGTCTGATCACTTTCACGGGAGCTTCTGAATAATAAACTGGCGATATTCAAAGCGCTTCTCGGGATCAAGAAAGCGTTCGTACAGAAGAGGAGAGAAGGTAGAAGATGGACGAGCCAGAGAAAATGCGAGATTTCTCGCGGCGAATCGGCATTCGTCCGATCGAAATGCTCAGCTTTCCGACCTCGTAGCCTCCAGTGAAAGTACTTCCGTTCTTTTCCAAAACGAGACCCGGTGACGCTCGGCATTAAGGATGCACGCTTCGGTACTTGCCGCCCAGCCGATTGCCTAAACACTCCCGGTTTTACGTAACGTCTCGTCCGATTAAAAAATAAGAGAAACCCAACGCGACGCGGACGTCTCGCGCCACTTCTTCCTCGTTAAGTCTTTCTTTTACTACCATTTCTCGTGTGAGATTCATTTACCTCTACACAGGAATATGTATAATTGAAATCAGTATGTCTTCTATTTCTGGGTTTCCAAGCTTCTTCTGTATCATAGAAGCATCAAATTCATTGCTGGAATCATTTATATGAAAGAAATCAATAAATATTCTATTTCTTTTTTCATTTGGATTTAGAATTTCGTATGGGATTTATTTAGCTCTACGTGAGTATATAAAATAAATCAATAAAGTTTCTATTTCTGGATTCCCAAGTTTTTTCTGTATCAAAGAAGCATAGAATTCATTCTTACTTTAGTCATTTATCATTTTGATACAATCACTTGGATGGAACCTCGTATGAGATTCATTTAGCTGTATGTGAGTATATAAAAGAAATCAATAAATCTCATTTTTATTTTGATTTAATAAAATGTTCATAAACAAATCATAGTGTTAGTAGAAGCAATGAGCGAAGTATATATTTTTATCGTGAAGTAGTTTTGTTTTACAATTTTTTGGGTCTCTGGGTTAAACCCTTCTAACCACCCCTTCTTGTCTAAGCTCACTGCTTACAATCTACCCTACATTTTGTACCACATTTGTTCGGATAATATTGCACTCTTCATATTTCAACCCAAAAAGTCTGTTGAATTAAAAATTTTCGTAACTGTCGAATCAAAATAGGTCAGTGTGAATGATACAAATCACACTTGGCAGAGAATATGGTTAACGCCGTGAACTGGGCACTCTATCCTCTCTAGAATGCCAATGCAAGGAAACTCTTCCTCGTTAATAATAATACGTGAAACGATTTCAGACGTTCACGTTACCGTGTAACTCTCCTCGATTCCAGTAAGAATGGCCACGCTCGTCGAGGCTCGTTCCCGCTAGAGAAGAGAGGAATCTGTACTTACACGATCCATGAATATTCAATCGGCACGCGTGCGTTATCCGACACACTTTTTCTCTGTTTTCATCTCCTCGCGGATTACGCTGTTTATGCGCGAATTAATTTCTCTCCTAGAAAGTAACAATGCAGATCGTTCCGCGCTCTAGCGCCGCTTCGACGGCGAAAAATCCTATTTTCTGGACCTCAAGGAACCTTTATTGATCCAGGAACCACCTTGGAATGCCTATTTCAAGGAACAGTTTCACAATCTTAAAAAAAAAATGTACAGCTTTCTATCGTGATAATCGGACACAATTTTTACGAACGAGGAAGACGATCGCAAAATACTGCATATTATCAGAAACAAGAAATCTTCAATAATCAGAGACCCGAAAC